AAGAACACCGTGTGAAATAACTCGCTGCCGTCGGGAATGTTCCGGTTAATTGTAGTACGCCGCGAACGACGACAATCGATTAGTCGAAAATTTCATTAAAAGTTAATTAGAAATTTCTAATTCATATCCGAAGTTCAAGCGAGTCTTGCCGAGTTGCTATTTGCGCTATTTCGCGAAAAATCCGAGGCAACGCACACGATCTCTATAATGTCATACTTACGACTTCGTCTTGAAAGAAGCAAACAGGTGATAGTCTTACGGTATTTAAATTCGAATTTGAAACTTCAGTTCTCTAAATTGAAGGTTAAAGCTAGATGCAGATTTATTGAATATTTGCCGATAATAAGCTAATTTGCTAACATATAAAATATAAAAATATTCTATTATTACGTATTATTTTTTGAAGACCAGCCATTTTGACTGATTTTGGTAGAAACAGCTTCGTCTCAATTGTCGGTAGTTCTGGTGTTAACACATTAATTAAACGTTTCGATATTTCTAGCGCAATGCAACGAATGTTCCCAATGCTTATCCAAGAAGCACTCCAGAGAACAAAAACACGTTTGAACATCCGTCGAATGATTCGCGAGTACACGGAGGATCGAACGACCGAAACGGAGAAGGGAAAGCAACAGGAAAGCAGCGAATTAAATAAAGTATCGATCTATCCCTTGCCGAACGGTCGGTCGGGTGTTGGAGAAAATCGAACAGCCGGGGACGCAGTGCGCACTGGAGGGCCGCGGGCCGGCTAGAAATATTCGCGGCAGGCGTTATAGCAAATGTCGCGTGAAATGCAATTTGCAGCCGCGACGTTGGCTTTTCATTCGATGATTCTCGTTATCCTCGTTACACGTGCCCGTGGCAAATTGCGCGTGAAACCGTGAGAATAAATTGTCTCCGCCAGCGACGACGACGATTGCATACACAGCGTCACACGGGATGACGTCGAATGGCGCGGCGACGCGACGAAAGCGACGAGAGCATTCGACTCCCCTTTTTCCGTCGCATCCCCCGTTGGCCCCGATGCGATCCAACGAATATTTAGTTACCGTGAACTACACTCGTTACCGTTTCATCTTCTCCTGGCAGATACGTGCGACGATTCCTTGAGTCCTTTCACCCGGCTCTCCTCGCTTGCATCTCCGCCATCCCGTTTCTTCTCCCGCCTACTTTAACACCTCCTCTTCGCTTTTTGCTCGTCGATCGTCGGTCTAGCGAGCACGTTTCGTCTGTAAAATGCTAAGCGCACCCTTTCGCACCCTTGTGTTTCACGCTGCTTCTTCTTTCTCCTTCGATCACCAGCGCTCTCGCGTGTCTTATCGTTCTCGGCGCGCGTGCTAACGCGCTGACGATTAATTTCGACAGACATAATTTCCCGTCTTCCCGAGGGGAAACCCGTTCAGGCAATTTCTCTTCTTCGTTTGTACCTCGTTGAAACGCGAAGCTGATATGTGTCATATACAACGCCGTTTGATGCAAATGGTTTTAAAAGAATTTCCTTTTTCCAAGTAACTTTTATGTATTCTTTCTTAACACGTTCGGAACGGATAAGAATTACAGTTTCTATGTTAAATAGACAACCTCTGTTTTTTTTATTAGTAAACGTCATTAGTATATCAAAAATATAGAAAAAAAGAAAAATTTATTTTTTTTTTTTTCAGTTCTATATTATAGTTAAATATTAGCGTTAGGAGCAAGAATATAATTTTTTCCGCAGGACAGTTTCTATTGAAACGAGGACTTTCATCGTGCCAGAAAATTACTTGACAAATATGTGGATATTTAACCAGAAGTTCCTCCAAAATCACTGATAAAGTTCATTAACCCGAAGCGTCTTCAAATCCAATGTGGATGTGGTACCAACACAACAGTCTGGCGTATAATGCAATTGTTGCAGGTAATGTGCTTTGTACAGTGTACCATAGTCATTGAATTGGCCGTGGTAAACCGAGAACTTGCTCTGCTCGTTATCCTCTCTCTCTCTCTCTCTCTCTCTCTCTCTCTCTCTCTCTCTCT